TGTATATGTGTATATATATGTATATATGTATATATATGTGTATATATGTATATATGTATATGTATATATGTATATTATATTCAGGTCCTTGAATATAAAACAACAGGATTCATTTAGTGGCATTTCTCCTAGTCTCCTAAGAGGCATTTTAATTAATTATTTGATTAATGTCATTGCTAATCGAATCATTAGCGTGTAATAGCCTTTTAACGTGAGATATCTGGACTCAAGAAAGATCGAGAGTAAAGAGTCTCTGTAGATCCTCTGTGCGTGGGCGTGGGCGTGTGCGTGCGTGCGTGCGTGCGTGCGTGCGTGTGTGTGTGTCTCAAACTACTTCCTGCTCTTTCACATGCCTGCTCTGTGATGTCATTTCAGGCTACCGAAACTGAAGCGAAATGTGGAAATGTGCCTTTTTTCCTTTGTGTTGGCAAAGCTGAGCGCCCTAAAAATACAATCCTGGATTGACACGGCTCTCGTCAAAGCACATGTCCATTTATAGAAATGACCTAGAAAGACGTTTAATAGAAATACGTCTGGCGAATGAACCACAGCAGTGAAGTACGATCTGCTGTGTCAGAAATCATGACTTCATTCTTCCTTTTGTAACTCATCCTTTGCTTTTCCATCTCTCCTCCCTTCTGGCCTCACATTTCACCATCGCCATAAAGTCTGGGCCACATTTTCACTGCAAAAAAAATATTTTCTTAGTATTTTTTATTTGTTTTCCTTTGCAAATATCTAAACATTCTTAAAAGAGTAACTTTTACAACAAGTGGCTGCCAGTATGAACATAATATTGAGTTAAGAAATCACTACAAATATTTAAACGTTATTAAATCTAGATACATTTACTTTAGAAGTAAAAGGATTAATAAATAAACTATACTAAATACACTTAAAAACAAGATTATTTTTCTTAGCCAACTGGCATATGACAACATGTTTGTCACATTTTAAATAAAAAATAATAATAATAATAATAATAACTAATACAATTTTTAAAAATCTGTTGTATAAAAAGTTTAGCATAAAAAGTTTTTTACTGGGAGAAAAAGTCAGATTATTGAAATTAATTTGGTCTATTAAATATTCAGTTTTGTTTTCTGAAAAATGCATGACAATTTTTGCTTAAAAATGCAGTAAGAAAAAAAACTTAAAAGGAACAATTTGTGAACCCCGCTGACAGATTTTTTTAAGCATAAACTCACTTCATTTTCATGCATTTTCCAGAAAACAAGATTTATTTTTCTTCTCAAGTAAATGTATTTTGATTTAAGATTTTTTTTAGATGTTTGTATTAGAAAACCGGACAAAAATACTAAGTAAGGAAATGATTTTTTTGCAGATTTTGGGCATGAATTGCACTCACAGATGGGACGAGACCAGATGTTTATTATTACTTTCATTTATCAGATTATGTCACAGCCAGAAAATAAAGTGAAATATACAGCTCGGCTTGTGGAGATCTAGTTTACTTGCTATCCTGGACTCAAGAAAGATCGAGAGTAAAGAGTCTCTGTAGATCCTCTGTGCGTGGGCGTGGGCGTGTGCGTGCGTGCGTGCGTGCGTGCGTGCGTGTGTGTGTGTCTCAAACTACTTCCTGCTCTTTCACATGCCTGCTCTGTGATGTCATTTCAGGCTACCGAAACTGAAGCGAAATGTGGAAATGTGCCTTTTTTCCTTTGTGTTGGCAAAGCTGAGCGCCCTAAAAATACAATCCTGGATTGACACGGCTCTCGTCAAAGCACATGTCCATTTATAGAAATGACCTAGAAAGACGTTTAATAGAAATACGTCTGGCGAATGAACCACAGCAGTGAAGTACGATCTGCTGTGTCAGAAATCATGACTTCATTCTTCCTTTTGTAACTCATCCTTTGCTTTTCCATCTCTCCTCCCTTCTGGCCTCACATTTCACCATCGCCATAAAGTCTGGGCCACATTTTCACTGCAAAAAAAATATTTTCTTAGTATTTTTTATTTGTTTTCCTTTGCAAATATCTAAACATTCTTAAAAGAGTAACTTTTACAACAAGTGGCTGCCAGTATGAACATAATATTGAGTTAAGAAATCACTACAAATATTTAAACGTTATTAAATCTAGATACATTTACTTTAGAAGTAAAAGGATTAATAAATAAACTATACTAAATACACTTAAAAACAAGATTATTTTTCTTAGCCAACTGGCATATGACAACATGTTTGTCACATTTTAAATAAAAAATAATAATAATAATAATAATAACTAATACAATTTTTAAAATTTTACTTTGCAAATATCTAAACATTCTTAAAAGAGTAACTTTTACAACAAGTGGCTGCCAGTATGAACATAATATTGAGTTAAGAAATCACTACAAATATTTAAACGTTATTAAATCTAGATACATTTACTTTAGAAGTAAAAGGATTAATAAATAAACTATACTAAATACACTTAAAAACAAGATTATTTTTCTTAGCCAACTGGCATATGACAACATGTTTGTCACATTTTAAATTAAAAATAATAATAATAATAATAATAACTAATACAATTTTTAAAAATCTGTTGTATAAAAAGTTTAGCATAAAAAGTTTTTTACTGGGAGAAAAAGTCAGATTATTGAAATTAATTTGGTCTATTAAATATTCAGTTTTGTTTTCTGAAAAATGCATGACAATTTTTGCTTAAAAATGCAGTAAGAAAAAAAACTTAAAAGGAACAATTTGTGAACCCCGCTGACAGATTTTTTTAAGCATAAACTCACTTCATTTTCATGCATTTTCCAGAAAACAAGATTTATTTTTCTTCTCAAGTAAATGTATTTTGATTTAAGATTTTTTTTAGATGTTTGTATTAGAAAACCGGACAAAAATACTAAGTAAGGAAATGATTTTTTTGCAGATTTTGGGCATGAATTGCACTCACAGATGGGACGAGACCAGATGTTTATTATTACTTTCATTTATCAGATTATGTCACAGCCAGAAAATAAAGTGAAATATACAGCTCGGCTTGTGGAGATCTAGTTTACTTGCTATCTGCCCGGCGAGATTGGGGAATTGCATGGTGCAAATTGGCAGTAAATGGGCCGCCTGAGACTGTTTAACAGCATTACATCGGGTTGCTGTCGTCTGTGTTTCAGGTGGACATGTTCTCGTACGGCATGGTCCTGTATGAGCTGCTGTCCGGCCGCAGACCGTGCATGGGTCAGCACCAGCTGCAGATCGCTAAGAAGCTGTCGAAAGGGCTCAGACCGGTGCTGGGCAGCCCAGAGGAGGTGCAGTTTCACTGCCTGCAGGCGCTGATGCAGGAGTGCTGGGACACCAAACCAGAGAAGGTACAACACACGCCTGACTTTTAATAAAGATGCATTCACAAGTCTTTTGCATAAAGTTAAATTTAACTTCGTCACACCATTATTGGTTGCTGTTGCTCATTGAAAATGAATCATTTATGGTGGTGTTCCTGTAGCATGAACAGTAGAGCAGTGTATTAGCAATGCCGAGGTTATGGGTTTGAATCCCAGGGAATGCATGAACTGAGAAAATGTGAATTTTGAATGCATTGTAAGTTGCATTGGTTAAAAGCGTCTGCCAAATCATGAAAAATGGTTGTCAGTGTGAACACCCCATAATTTTGAGTTAATTGCACAGAGAAAACTAGTTCTAACTAGTTGGGTTGGCTAGGGATGATGTCCAAAAGTTGAATATTGTATATTTACTTGGAAAAAAAGTCAAATCTATTTTAAATGGTTTCTGTTGTGGGCTTTAATGGCAAAAAATAGTGGTGAAAGATCAAGAAAGCTCATCTTTTAAAGCAACAAAGCTGTATTTATATTTATATAGAATATACACTACTGTTCAACTGTTCAACACTACTGTACTTTTTTCGGGTAGGATGAATTAAATTGATCAAAAGTGACAGTGAAGACTTTTATAATGTTACAAAAGGTTTAATTTTTTTAATAAATGCTGTTTTTAACACTTTATTCATCAAATAATCCTTAAAAAAATCACAGTTTGAAGCAGCACAACTTTTCAACATTGATAATAATCAGAAATGTTTCTTGAGCAGCAAATCAGCATATTATTATGATTTCTGAAGGATCATGTGACACTGAAGACTGGAGTAATGATGCTGAAAATTCAGCTTTGAGCACAGAAATAAATTAAATTTTAAAATACATTCACATAGAAAACAGTTATTTTAAATTGTAATAATATTTCACTGTTTGACTATTTTTGATCAAATAAATGCAGCCTTGGTGAGCAGAAGAGACATTAATAAAAAGTCTTACCATCCCCAATCTTTTGAGCCGTAATGTATGTTAAAACAGACGTAAACCAGAGACAAAAATAGTCACGTAGGCACGTTTTAGCTGCAGATGTTGTGAAGTAAAGCATGTGTCTAATAGTGTCCTGTCCTGCGGTGTCTGTAGCGTCCCCTGGCCGCTCCTCTCATGAGACAGATGCAGGATCCCAGTTTTGCTTGTCTGAGGTACCTGCTGCCCTGCCAGGAACACAGCCAGCTCTTCTTGTCTCCGCTGCAGGGACACAACGCCGTCTTCTGGGATGGAGACAAAGACGACAGGTGCGCTTTTGAGAAAGCATCGTGCTTTTCTTGCATGTTCACGTGGCTTTCTTGTGAAGTTGTGCTGCTATCATGACGGTTTGTACGTCTGTGATGTGTTTGCAATGTTTGATTTTGTGGCTCTGTTCCAAAAACCTGATAAGCCTACTTGCTGTCTGTTGTCTACATAGGCAGCTGTCTTCTGTAATACTCATAAATGGCTCTGGATGATTTGTATCACTCTACATAGGTGGTTCCAATTGATTTCAATAGAGCAGGTAAACTAATGACTTAATACTCTACACACAAATATTGGGGAAAGTAGTCAACTCATAATAACATTCAGCATTCTTTATAGACACTTTTAGGGAATGAGTTTTAAGCATATTTATAGTTAATTTACATGTCTCTTGCTTAATTCAAGTGTTTATTTATTTAGTATTTTTATACAGTATTATAGTATTTATTAATATGATTTAGCTTTTCATTTTTATATTTCCATTTTTAATTTTAGTTTTAGGGTTATTTTTCTATTTCATATTTATATAAAAAAATATACCAATACAATATAAATATTGTATAAATATTTATTTTTAGTTCAGCTTTAGTTTTAGTATTTTTAGTATTTAGTATATATTTTTTTCAGTTAGTTTTCAAGTCACCATTTCACATTTTTTATATTTTTATCTTTTTTTTTTTATTATTTTAGCTTGCTTTCAGTTAACGAAAATGCATTTTAATGGCATATTTATTTACTAGTTTCATTAATATTTTGAATTTTATTCTTGTATTTTCCTTTTTTTTTAGTTTTTGCTTTTTTAAATATTTCTATTTTGCTTTATTTTCATTTCAGTTTTTGTTTTAGTCATTTTAATACTTTAACTTATTTCAATTAGTTTCCAAAGCAACATTTCTAATTTTTAGAAGTAATTTTTTTTATTCTTTTTTTTTTCTTCATTTTAGCTTAATTTCAGTTTAACGCCATATATATGTACTAGTTTTATTAATATTTTGAATTAGCTTTTATTTTTATATTTTCCATTTTCTTTTCAATTCTTAGTAATTCTGTTGTTTTTGTCATTTTTATTTTATTTTATTATTTTTAATTAGATTCCAAGGCAACATTCACTTACAACTGAACATTAAAGCATGTCAACATATTCTGTTACACCAAATACACAAAATAATGATCTTTAAAAAAGCATCATATGACCCCTTTAAGTTAAATGATTTAATACATTTTTTCATCCATTTCAGCTTAATTGCAGTGAACAAAAACTAATTTTAGTGGTTTTGGTTTTAGTTACCAATAACAGCACTACTGCATGTGATACACGTGTGCCTGTGACTCCTTAAAATGCTGTCTATGTAGGCAGCTCACTAGGTTTTGGAACAGAGCCCGAGTCTTTTTCAATAATGAGGCCGAAAGGCCAAAGAAAATTAAGTATCTCAAAGTGCCAGGTTTGCACTTTACAGAAATCACAAGCCCCACACCAGCCCGTAATCTCCCCTTTCACTCCATTTCCCTCATTTAAACACTCTCCCGTTTTTCTATTTACCGCCAATTGCTCCCCTTCAGACCTCTGGCTCACTCATATAAACACCCTCATTAAAATCATTCAGGAATCTCATTTTTCCAGCTTCCCTTGATGCTCTCAAGCCTCCTTTAAAAAAAATGACTCATTTGAATATTCATGAGCACGTATATAAGAGCTCATTATTATGCACGACGGCCTCCACCAGGCTGATAAATGCCCAGTGATCTACAGCCAGGCTCATCTGATCATCGGCTGCTTTGTTTGCTGGCACTCAATCCTACAAGACGCTTCAATGAAACGCTCCGCTTTTATCTCACGGCGCTGGTGTTTGCATTTACCAGCGATGCCCATCGGCCTGCCTAATGTCTGTTAATACGTCATCACCAGCAGCACAATGAAGGCTTTGTCTTGCATTAATCATAATATTAGCTTGTGCCTCCTACCTAGTGCCCTAAGACGACCGTGAGTGCTTACAACTTTACTTTACTTACTTTTAGTCATTTAGCAGACGCTTTTATCCAAAGCGGCTTACAAATAAGAAAAAGTAATTAAAACTAAAAGCTAAAACTCTATAAATACTATATATATATACACATTTAAGAAAATAAAAGAAATTAAATAAAAATGACACATGCATACATTTCAAAACTAAACATTTAAATGAAAACAAAAAAAAATAAAGCTAAAAACAATTCAAAATATTAAAAGAACAAAAGGTATGAGTATAATAATGATTCTAACATAACACTAAGCCAAACACCAAAAAACAACTACATATGTGTATGTACAGCCACACACATATACATATACATGTACATATATAAATACATTCAATATATATATATTATTTCATTTCCATTTTGTATGTTGAAGTACTGAAATAACTCAAATAACTACATTAGTTTATCAGTAATCCTAAAAAAATAACACTGAGCCAAACACACATGCTAAAATAACAACAACTTACTGACACACAATAAGAAATGGTTATTAAAAAACTGTCACAAGTAAAGTTTAGTTTACAACTAAAGCCAGTATGCTTTGAGACTGTTAAGGAACAGCGGGAAACACCTAGGAATATCAGAGATTTTAAAAATTGTGATTTCCAAGTCATAGGAATTTGTAAAATTATTATATAGTGTATTATGTAATGTATATAATGTAATTGATTATAGACATTACTGGTCAAAAATTTGGAGTCAGTTTTTTATGTTTTGAAAGCAAAATACAGTATAGACTTTACAATGATGCAGTAAACTGATCAAAAGGGACAGTAAAGACATTTATAATGTTACAAAAGATTAATATTTCATATAAATGATGTTCTTTTGAACTTTCTATTCATCAAATATCCTGTAAAAAAAATGTACATGTTTTCACTGAAGACTGATGATGCTGAAAATTCAGCTTTGCATCACAGGAATAAATTACATTTTAAAAATGTATTACAATAGAAAACAGTTATTTTAAATTGGAAAAAATATTCCACAATATTGTTGTTTTTACTGTATTTTTGATTAAATAAATTCAGCTTTGGTGAGCATTTTCATTTTTATTTATTTTTCTTGTTTTTGTTTATTCTTTCTTTTTTAATCTAAATTTCAGTTAACAAAAACAAATATTAATGCCATATTTATATAATAGTTGTATTAATATTGTGAATTAGTTTTTAATTTTTATATTTTTGTGTGTGTTTGTTTTTGTTTTTTTATATTTATATTTTGCTTTATTTTTTATTTCATTTTGAGTTTTAGTAATTTTAGTACTTAAACATTTTATTTCAGGCAACATTTCCAATTTTTGTAAGGGTTTTTTTTTTTGGTCTTTTTTAATGTATTTTTTTTCCATTTTTACTTTAATATATACTTTTTACAGTTTGGCTCTTAAATATTTTATTAGTTAGAAATTGACTTTGTAGGTGTTTATGTAGAAAAAAAAAATCCTTATCCTGTAATCACAACCAACTGGAGCGGTCATGAAAACTGATTGGTAAAAAGAGAGGTTTAAAATGGTTTTAGCTGGTTTCATTTGATCTCTCATCTTTGTGAAGCAGCCTGACCAGCTAAAAAGTGCCAAGAACTGCCTAAAAATGACCAGACTGGGAGACCAAACTAATGTTTTTCTGGTCTTAATTGGTTTAAATTGGTCTCCCATCCTGGCCGAGCTGGTGTTTAGCTGAAAAGTGCCCAAAACCCCTTTAAAACCAGCGAATAGGCTTTCTAACCAGTCCAGGAGACAAAACTAATTCAGGCTGGTTTAAGCTATTTTCTTTTCAGCAGGGAAGCAAACAAGACATCAAATAATTGGCACAAAGCAGGCAGTAAAAGCTCGATGTGGGTTTTGCGATCTGATGGCCCCCTTGATCATCGGATGGCCTACCAGCAATATCCTGTAAATTATATTTTAAGTACATTAGCGTGAGGTTGGCCCGAATCGCTTTATCACCGCAGTGTTTATTTGTCCAAGTTTGACGTTGCCAATTAGATTATTGGGGCTTCATAAGCAAAAAGGAAAAAACTGAAAGCACAATAAACAGCTTATTAGGGTATTTGGATCAGAAGCGTCCGTGGTTTGTGACGGATTGAATCATTTGTGTGCTGTCACAGCGCACCGTCAGATAAATGACTCCGCTGATCAAGTAATGAATCACTGTTCAGCAAATGAATTAGCAGAATATATAAACCTACAAATCAGCCCACACTGCTGAGAGCCGCGCTCCTGCATAACAGCGCAATGTATAATACATGTTTAGATTAAAGACTCGTCATAAATCATGCGCTGCTCTGAAATCATTTGGGTTTGTACCACATACTGTTTTTGTACAAAAGAACAAAACCGGCAGGAGTAACAATACTTGTGTGTATTAGTGGCGTCACGCGTCATTATTACTATTGGAAATATCAAGACATTTTAGAAGTAATATTTCTAGGACTCAATTTTAGCTTTATATTTTAATTGCATTTTTAGTAATTTTGTTATGTGCTTTTCTCCATTTTATTAGTGTTTTTTAATTATTATTATTATTATTTCAGTTTTAGTTCTGTTTTTGTTTTTATTTTCAGTTTGTAATTTTAGTGCTTCAGCTTAAACTTATTTCATTTAGGTGGCATTTCTAATTTTAATTTAAGTTTTTAATCTAACCCTTAGAAAATCATCACTCACATTTTCTTCACATTTGTTTTTTATTAATATTTAGGTTTAATTTATTTTTATTTCAGTTTAGTTCATTATTAGTTTTTATTTACGTCTAGTTTTTTTAGTGTTTCAAGCCAATTTTTTGTTTAGATTTTAAGTCTAATATTTATATTATTTCAGCTTTAATTACATTAACAAAAATGTTTTTAATTGTTTTATTTTTACTAAACAATAATAACCCCAAGAAAAGCACCACTCAAATTTTCTTCACATTTTTTTAATTATTATTATTACTTTTTATTTAAGTTTTAGTCTTTATTTATTTCCTGTTTGGTTTTTAATTTTAGTGCTTTGACTTAAACCTCGGTTAAAAATGTCAGTTAGTTGACAAAGCAATATTTATCATTTTTGTTTAGTTTTAAGTTTCTAACATTCAACATTTAAGTTTCTAAAATTATATCATTTATATTTTAATTTATTTATTTTTATATTTATTTATTTATTTTCAGCTTTATTTTCCATTTACAAAAATGTTTTTAATAGTTTTAGTAATGATGATAACCCAGAGAAAAGCATCACCTAGATTGGATTTCATAACTGCTGTGTTCCACAGACACATAAAAGGGTTTTCTGTGTGTGTGTGTGTGTGTGTGTGTGTGTGTGTATGTGTGTGTGTGTGTGTGTGTGTGTGTGTGTGTGTGTCTGTGTGTATGTGTGTGTCTGTGTGTGTGTGTGTGTGTGTCCTGCAGGAATTACACGGTGGTAAACTTGGCCAAGGGGCAGGTGGAGGTGAAGCGGATGCCGTGTCCGGGAACACGTCTGAGCTGCCAAATGAAGATGGAGAACAGTTTGTGGACAGCCACTGAGGTGTGTTGAGCTGTCAGTCACAACAACATTATCAGAGAAACAACTAATGGATAAACGCAGAGGGCATTCGCTTCTCACAGTAAAGGAGATTGTTGTAACTTGGTGTCAAACCAAATGTTTGTTGCACAAGTTTTGTGTGTAATGTATCCACCATTAGCAGAATAGCAGAAATAATGACCATTTTCAGACAGGTTTCCTGAACAAACAGATGCTCGTGCCCCAAACTCAAAAACGGTGAGGTTTTGATGAGGTTTCATCACGTATTCACTACCGTTCAAAAGTTCTATTATTTTTCTATTTAAAGAATTATTATTTTTAGGGATGCATTAAATTCATCAGAAATGTCAGTAAAGACATTTATAATATTACAAAAGATTAATTTTTTTAAATAAATGCTTAAAGAATGATTTTGAATTAAATGAAAAAAAAAAGTATTGTGTTTCTGCAGGAACAGGAAGTCTTTATCTACAGCCTGAAAGAGATGTGCCCCTTGAGTCACCCGCAGAAACTGCTCTCCTGTCCGGCTGTGGTAACCTGTCTCTTTTTACTGCCCGCCAGGAAAGAGGTCAGTGCCCCGGCTTGCAGTCGTTGCCATGTAAACTACGCTTATGTTGATGATGTTCTTGTATGTTTGTTTGTGTCTTGGTTTAGATATCCAAAGTTTTAAAAATATATATATATTTAAAAAATCTTAATTGAAATCTTCTTTAAAATTAAAGAAATAGTTCATCCAAAAATGAAAATTTGCTAAAAATGTACTCGCCCTGAAGAGATCCAAGATGTATTTTGTTTCTAAACAGCAACAGATTTGGAAAAATGTAGCATTAAATCTCTTGCTCAGCAGTGGATCCTCTGCAGTGAATGGGTGCCGTCAGAATGAGAGTCCAAACAGCTGATAAAAACATCACAATAATCCACAAGTAATCCACACCACTCCAGTCCAGCAGTTAATGACTTGTGAAGAGAAAAGCTGCATGTTTGTAAGAAACAAATCCACCATTACGGTATTTTAACTTTAAACTTTTGCTTCTGGTCAAAATATGAGTCCATAATCTATAATAATGTTTCCTCCATTGAAAAAGACTTGCACTTTTAAAAATAAAAGTTTAAAAAGACTTTTAGACTTGCACTCTATTCATTTTCTAACTGCTTGTTTTCTTTAAAACAAAAAAATAGCTTCTCTAATCTTTTTGCATTCTATCTATTTGTTTTCTTTTATTTATTATACAATTAACAAAAGCAAAAAGGGCCTCTAACACTAGCTTGCTCTATTCTTTTTCTATTCTATTTGTTTTCTTTTTATTATATAATTAAAAAACCCTTGCTGCGTGTACTGCGTTAAGCTAACTGAGACTGAGCTAACTGCATATCATTGCTCTTTTGTTGATTTTGATTGCTTCCATTGTCCTCATTTGTAAGTCGCTTTGGATAAAAGTGTCTGCTAAATGACTAAATGTAAATGTAATGTAGATGAAAAAGTCCATCCCCTGTTGTCAAAATCTGCCCACATTTTTGTTGAGCTGTTTTTGACTGTTTTCATTTATAAAAGGTGCTTGATCTGTGCGTATTTCTCTCCTGATTCAGACGAGATGACTTTTCACTGGAGAAAGCAATATTATGAATAGAGGACTCGTATTTTTGCAACTGCTCAAGTTAAAAACGTCTTAATGATGGATTTGTTTCTTACAAGCATGCAGCTTTTCTCTTCACAAGATGTTAACTGATGGACTGGAGTGGTGTGGATTACTTGTGGATTATTGTGATGTTTTTATCAGCTGTTTGGACTCCCATTCTGACGGCACCCATTCACTGCACACACAGGATCCATTGGTGAGCAAGTGATATAATGCTACATTTCTCCAAATCTGTTCTGATGAAGAATTCATCCAGGATGACACGAGGTGTGTAACTTTTCTGCAAGTTTTGTATATATGTAAATATAAAGAAACTGCTCCAGTTGTTTTAACTCTGGCGGCGTCCACCTGAAGTTTCACCATCACAACACCCACTGACGTGTTCTTGGACCTGATAGTCTGAGGCTCATCTCAGGCACTGTATTTTTAGATGGATGATAACAGATACAAAGTGAGTTATGAGTAAGTTAGACGCTGCCAGCTGGGTTTTAATTCATTTGGCATGACAGGAACGAATAGGATATTAATGAGTGACAGAGCATGCCGCCTGTGTCTACAAAAACTGGTTTCAGGTTTGCATTTGATTTGAATAACTCCAAGGAAATAAAATGCATTGCTCCAAGGTTGCTCAGGAGAGATCAGGATTGTCCTCATTTGTAAGTCGCTTTGGATAAAAGTGTCTGCTAAATGACTAAATGTAAATGTAATGTAGATGAAAAAGTCCATCCCCTGTTGTCAAAATCTGCCCACATTTTTGTTGAGCTGTTTTTGACTGTTTTCATTTATAAAAGGTGCTTGATCTGTGCGTATTTCTCTCCTGATTCAGACGAGATGACTTTTCACTGGAGAAAGCAATATTATGAATAGAGGACTCGTATTTTTGCAACTGCTCAAGTTAAAAACGTCTTAATGATGGATTTGTTTCTTACAAGCATGCAGCTTTTCTCTTCACAAGATGTTAACTGATGGACTGGAGTGGTGTGGATTACTTGTGGATTATTGTGATGTTTTTATCAGCTGTTTGGACTCCCATTCTGACGGCACCCATTCACTGCAGAGCATCCATTGCTGAGCAAGTGACGTAATGCTACACTTCTCCAAATCTGATGAAGAAACAAACTCATCTACATCTTGGATGGCCTGAGGATGAGTAAACTTTCAGCAAAATAAATTTTTTGGTTAAACTATTCCTTTAAGTTTTAAAAAACAGATAACAAGTGCCAAAACAAACAGCAAAGCAGACCAAATTGTTGGCCAGGTAAGAACAGCAGGCTTGATATTTTAGGTAAGTGGGCAGGTTTTTCTCATCAGTTCCTCGCGCGTTTTAAGTCACTGTCGTCCAGGTGTTCCCGATCTCCCTCGCTTCAGCGGACGTCCCAATGACAGATTCAATCCTCGTCGCTCCTCCAAACACATTCTTATACGAGCCTCGCTCCCTTTGAAGTGCCCTCTGTTCCCCCCGTCTGTCCGCTGCGGGGTCACTGACAAACTGGATGTCAAAAGCAGTTGAGGAGATCAGGGAAGGAGCACACAGCTGGTTTGGGGCTGTCAGGAAGGTTTCTGGGAGGAAACTCTTTTAGATATGGCACTTGGACAAAAATGCATGTGAAGGCGGACTAAAATATTCCGAGAATAAATGTTGCATATGGTTTG